CCATTCAATCCAAAATTTACTGACCCAAGTTCAGAAATCAGACGAATGACATGTACATCCTCTGTAAAGATATATAAAAGCATTTAGATCATTACTTTTAGTGATCTAAATGCTCTTATATTTCTTTCTGGAGTGAGTAGCTTTTGTGGTAAACATACTATTCCACTATGAGGATAAAATAGTGAATTCCAGTTTTTGGCAACCTATTTTTTTGGAGAGAAATTTTTGATCTATTAACAATCAATCATGACAGTATATAGAACACTAGAAGTATAACAATAAAAAATATAACAAGATCTATAGATCACCTAGCGACGACTACAAGCACCGGAGCAAGCTAAAAGCGCATCCCCATCATCAACCATCCTTCATGGAGTCAAGGTAAATCTTGTTGGAGTATAGAGTTGCAAATTACCCCATTTAACTTTTTTCTATCCAGTTTTAGTTTTTACCGCATTTAGCGATCTATCAGTTGGGTATGGCCGTTAAGTACATATGGCTTCTTCTGGCGTGTTTTTCACGCTCAAACCAGTCGAATTCGAGTGAGTTAACAAGGCACAGTAGTGAATTACCCACGGCTTTGCATGATTATTTCCTTCTTCACCACACAAGCAACTCCATGTTCATTACTTTGATCTCATTCTTCTTTACCGTGTTTCACTCCGGGTAGTCCATTGTACTACACATAACTCCACTTACGGTTTGTTCAGTAAAAAAACACTAGGGGAACTATATGCAAACTAAAATACTTTAAAAGGGGTAAAAGTTGCAAGTTAAATGGGGTAATCTTGATGAAAAGCTGCTAAAGGTAATTCACGGAAAAAAGATTGAAGTATTCTGTCTATTTCCTTTTAGTCTGCATATAAAATTTGTCTGATTTTTTTATCCAAAGGGGAGGGGTGACTTGGCTCCCGAGCACATCTACACCCGTCATAAACAGTAGAATCCAAAAAAAAAGAATCTGATTTTTTTATTTGCATGGATGATGTTTGCATGTACTCTTCGGATCAACTTTTTTTTGCTGAGAGCTACTCAGGTGTCCAAACGAGCTGAAATTTGGCACGGACCTCACGCACTGAAACATCTTCCATGCAAAAAATTATTGCTTTTTTTTTGAAAATTTTAGTATTTTTTATTTTACTACTCATAAGGTGCAGATGAGCTCGGGCCCATAGATGAATGTTCGTAAAGCAGCTATTGCCATTCTTCGTTTCAAAAGTCAAATGTGCAGCTTCTAAAGTCTGA